TTTATGAAAGGTGGTATGATTTTCTGAAAACGGGGATAGAGAGAGAGAGAGAGCTCAGAAGAGGAATTCGGGTGTTTCTTTTCACTTATGTCTCCTTTCTTTTTCATCTTTCTTTCTTGTTCTTTGTAATATACATATATATACATACATGTATTTGATACATAAATTTTATACATTTATTGTAATGTCGTTACGATGCGTAATCGAACGTTATTTTTTAACAATGATATGCAAGTGGCGTGGAGGAGTATCGGTAAATAATAAACGAAACTTCGCTTACACTATTATGTTGCTTCTCCTTATTCGTCTCAATTACACAATCCTTAAACGTTAAGCTGTCTATTATTATTTCTTTTTCTTTCCCCCTTATTGTATAGGTAAGTTTCGTTCCATCGCCGCGGCGCCCGTCGATCACAGAGCGATCGAACTCTCGTTTGGAACGAGACAAAAAGCCGCGCGCATCAACGCAACCTCGATTGCTATGTGGAAGGCGCTATTGGCTCGGCGCTTCTTCGTGATTTATTGCTTTCACCGCAGAGAGGCAATATGCGTTCTTTTTTCAAGGAAGAAACAAAAACGTGGAATATTTTAGATTTATTTATCGCACTGTTTCCAAGTGAGCTTTAATTTGAAATCGGTGATTTGGGAATTTTTTTTTGACGATGCTTCTGACATTCTGAATTTGATCGCACTGCTTACCAATAATTTACTAGTGAAAAGTATAGTATAAAATGTAGACGTAAATTGAAAATATAATTCTGATCAGAAAATTTTGTAAAAGAATTCGTTTAATTTGGAAAATTGTGCAGTAATTGTTGAAAAGTGCTGTTTCTGTGGATTGAAGAATTGCAAACAAATTAGAATACAAGTTACACTTCAGTAAGAAGATCTAAGGCGCTATTGGCTCGGCGCTTCTTCGTGATTTATTGCTTTCACCGCAGAGAGGCAATATGCGTTCTTTTTTCAAGGAAGAAACAAAAACGTGGAATATTTTAGATTTATTTATCGCACTGTTTCCAAGTGAGCTTTAATTTGAAATCGGTGATTTGGGAATTTTTTTTTGACGATGCTTCTGACATTCTGAATTTGATCGCACTGCTTACCAATAATTTACTAGTGAAAAGTATAGTATAAAATGTAGACGTAAATTGAAAATATAATTCTGATCAGAAAATTTTGTAAAAGAATTCGTTTAATTTGGAAAATTGTGCAGTAATTGTTGAAAAGTGCTGTTTCTGTGGATTGAAGAATTGCAAACAAATTAGAATACAAGTTACATTTCAGTAAGAGGATCTGGATCATACCAAAAAAATAGTTTAAATAGGTAGGAAAATTGTGTAAAACAATTCATTTAATTTTGAAAATTGTGCAGTAAAGAATTTTTGAAAAGTGCTGTTTCTGTGGATTGAAGAATTGCAAACAAATTAGAATACAAGTTACATCTCAGTAAGAGGATCTAGATCATACCAAAAAAATAGTTTAAATAGGTAGGAAAATTGTGTAAAACAATTCATTTGATTTTGAAAATTGTGCAGTAAAGAATTTTTGAAAAGTGCTGTTTCCGTGGATTGCAATCAAAAGGATTCGAATAGAGGTTACATCACAATAAGAGAATCTAGATTTCTATTAATCTTGTACACCAAAGCAATCTCGGGAATTGCTGCCGCAATTTATAGGATATTCTATAAAATTGGAGCTAGAACAATAAAGCGTATCATTAAAAGCTCTGCCCTGTAATAAAAGTCAGCGAATCGCCGATTGGAGCGAAACATCGCTCTCGAATCGCGCTCGTTAAACGTTTGTCTCGTCGTTCAAACAAAATTGCTACATTCCTTCAAAAACGCAACAATGTTCCAACTATCAAGCAATTAATCGATTTTTTTTTCTATGCTTTGATATATGTATATCAGCGAGAGTAATCGTGTAGTATTCAGGTTGCGCGAAAAGGGAAATATGTGCTACGAAAAACTGTAACGACCAAGAAGATAGATTAAAATGAATCGTGCATTAGAAGAAAAATATTCTTAAGCAATCAGACACTTACATAAAATAAATACAGTATTATTTACATATGGTACCTGAACAGTATCAACTTAAAAATAAGAAACTCAAAAATGACCGTCACTTGAAAATTAAATTTTAATTCCACAATATTCCTTTACACTAAATTAATCAGCAACGTTAAACACACTTTGCGAATATTCTGCATAATTAAATTTACAATATTCAACATTTAATAACTTCAACCTATAGAGAGACGAAATTTTCTTTGCGAGCTTGTATCTTAAAAAAATTGTTTCAAGTGTATTGTCCACATTATCTCAATAATTTTGCATAATTTTTTCCCTTATTTCCAATACGTTTTTCGTACGGTTCTCGAAAAATCGCGATCCTTTTTCTATAAAAATCTCTCAGCAATTTCTGGTCCACGAGAAAAGAAACCACAAATAAAAATTAAAAAGCTACCAACTAATATCCTAAATAAAACCTAGAAAGCTACAACGTAATATCCTAAATAAAAATTAAAAAGCTGTCAAGTGACATGTTTAAAAATTCGAAAATCTGGAAGGAAAGAAACACCGTTTAATAACGACAACAATGCGACACGTTTAAAAATACAATAAATCGTGGCGACGTGCTGCTTTAGCCGTGGAATAATTGAACGAAATTCGTTTATCGATAGTTCCTTCCAGTTATCGTTCAGCGTCGAGAAAATTACACGGTGTGCTTGGTATCCTTATTTCTCGCAAATTTACCGGGCCGTGCGTTTAATGAGCGTATGCCTCAACAATAGACGCGGTCTAATGCAGTCAATATCCCCGTGCTAATGATGGTCAATTATTCCATTAGCCATTCACGGTTCTGTTCACCGCCTTCTACGGGAAACTAGAAAGGAGTTACACGGCAGAAATAACGTCATCTAGAAACACCGTGATCGCGTCATTTGGTGAAGCAACGCGACACTTACGCGGGGTGTGAAACGTAATTGATATGCGGCAAGATTGACGGGGATCGCTTTATTAACGTCTCTCGTGTTGCAAGCTTCTCGTATTATACTTATTTATCGATTGTTCACCGAAACATTTATACACGGGGTACTTTTGTAACAACACATTCTTCTGAGCAATATTTTCTTTGTCGACTTAATTTTATCGATAAATGTGTTGATTAAATTTAATTTCGAGGTGTGTTCTACAATTTTCATGATCAGTACAATATTACTTTTCGTTCAATTTCTTAAATTTAGTGGTTAGTATTAGGTCGGCGAATTTAGTGGTCCAAATCGAGCAATAAAATTCGTGGTAAAAGACGAATGCTTGTAGTCGCTTTAAAAAAATGAGTCAATCGAAATTCATCGTGGTTAGAATCGAGCAGGAAAATTTACGATAAAAGAGAAAATTTGTAATCACCTTAAAAAGTATAGATCAACAAAAAATACTTACTTAATTCAAATTCACTTCCTAACATTAAAGTATTAACCCTTATGTCAATAACCGGGTACCGGTTTGCATAATTCTCACTTAAAATATCTGATCTTCCAGGTAGAAGATTTAAAT